TTTATAGATCATTTTAGGTCTATATTTAGAAGGCCCCTAAACAATAGGGTGTGGCTCGAGGGGTTGGAATGGCCAACACTAAAACTAGAGGATAGAGAATAGTTGGAAAAGAAATTTGACTTGGAAGAGATAAAGGAGGTGGTATTTTCTATGGAAAGATCAAAGGCACCGGGCCCAGATGGTTTTACGATGGCTTTTTATCAAGATTGTTGGAAGATACTAAAAGAGGACCCAAGGCTGGTATTTGATGAATTCCATAGTAGAGGAGTGATTAACCCTGGGCTAAATTCCACATTCATTGCCTTGGTACCCAAGAAAAGTAATGCAAACCATCTGAGGGACTACAGACCAATCCGCCTTGTTAATAGCCTTTATAAGATTATCACTAAGGTGTTGTACATTAGAATTAGGAAGGTGCTCCCAGCAATCATAGCAAATAACCAAGGAGCTTTTGTGAAGGGGAGGCAGATAACAAATCATATACTTATAGCAAATGAGAGTCTAGAGGACTTCAAGAAGTCCAAGAAAAAAGGGGTGGTCTGCAAATTGGATCTAGAAAAGGCTTATGACTTGGTTGATTGGTCTTTCTTGTTGGAGGTGATGATCAACCTTGGGTTTGGAGACAATTGATGCAAGTGGGTGATGGGTTGCATTAGGAATTGCCATTACTCCATCTTGGTGAATGGAACAGTGGCAAACTACATTCCAACTTTGAGGGGGATTAGCCAAGAAGATCCCCTCTCCCCTTTTTTATTTACATTGGTTGCAAAAGTGTTGGGGAGACTAATTTCCAGAGCAAATTCTAGGGACTTAATAAGAGGATGGAGAGTTGGAAAAGAGAACATACCACTCACTCACTTGCAATTTGCAGATGACACAATCCTTTTTTTCTTGTGAAGGATGGGATCTCAATAGGATCAAAAACCTGAAGCTCACTATACAACTTTTTGAGCAAATGTCAAACCTTAAAGTGAATTTTGAAAAAAGTTGTATAATTGGAGTCAATATGGGGGAGGGGGAGGTATGTGAGTGTGCAGACATTTTGGGGTGTGTAGTATCTAATTGACCCTTAAACTACCTTGGTTTTCCATTGGGAGATAATCCTCAAAAAGGTGACTTTTTGAGTTCCGATTGTGGAGAGGTTTGAAAAGAGACTTGCCAATTGGAAGAAAATTTATTTGTCTCTTGGAGGGAGAATCATTCTAATTAGGTTTACACTAGCTAACCTTCCTGTCTATTTTTTGTCAGTCTTTAAGATTCCGGTTAAGGTGGCTAGCAGGTTGGAAAAACCGATGAGAGACTTTCTATGGGAGCCGGGGGAGGAGGACCATAGGGTTAGGTGGGAGGTGGTGTGTAGGAGTAAGGAGGGAGGTCTGGGAATTGGGAACATAAGGAATAGGAACTTAGCACTACTAGGGAAATGGCTGTGGAGATTCTCATTGGAAAAAGAAAAACTGTGGGTTAAGATAGTGGGTAGTATTCATGGGGTGGCAGACAACAGATGGGACTCTAGGATTCTAGCAAGGACCACAAGAGCATCTCCCTGGAAAGCTATTCAAGCTATTTTGCCCTTGTTCTCTCCCTAGATCAGGTATGACTTGCACTCAAGCAACCTCATTAAATTCTAGGAATAAGTTTGGGTTGGGGATTCTTCTTTAAAAGACCAATTTCCAACTCTTTTTGCTATCTCGACCCTTAAGAATGAACCGGTTTCCTCCTTCCTTGTACCTTCTAACTCACCTTCTAGATTCGGCTGGAACTTGGGTTTGAGGAGAGATGTCAGGGACACAAAGTTAGGCTATACTTCAACCTTATTATCCATCCTTGAAGGGGACTTCGTAGAACCAACAAAAGCAAACAATATAATTTGGACACTCACTCCCTCGGGTTCCTACACCTATGCCTCTTTCCTTAAAGCCCTAATACAACCTTCTTCTATTGGACTGTCCTTCCCTGTTTAAGAGGTTGCTATCAACCTATACCTCCAAAGGTTGGGAGTTTCTGTTGGGAAGCCTTTCTAGAAAGAGTTAATACAGGAGATTTACTTCAAAGAAAAAGACCCAATAGTTGTTTGTCTCCACACTGGTGTGTCCTCTGTAAATCTGATGGTGAGTCTGGATACAATTTACTAATTTCCTATTAGTTTACTAAAGCCACTGGGAATGGTTTACTTCTCTATTTGGGTGCAAGTGGACTCCCCCTTTGAATGTGCAAAGCTTCTTCACTTCCATGCCTAAACTGACCAACAAAAAGGGCCAAGATTATGTGGAGATAAGTTAGGGCTGCAGTTTGTTGGACTGCTTGGGAGGAGAGAATTTCGCAGATTTTTTCAAATAAGGAGAAAAGCTTGGAAGTAATATTGGAGGTTATTCATATTAGGGTGATACATTGATTGAAAACTTTGGAAATGTTTGCAGACTTCTCAGTTGATGAGATGCTAAGAAATTGGAAGGAGATTGCAAAATCGGCTTCAGCTAAGAAGGCTTCAAGCTCTTGCTGGACGCCTCCACCTCACGGCTTTACTAAACTGAATTTTGATGGCAGCAGCATAAGCAATCCAGGGCCCTCCGGAATAGGGGTGAGTGATAAGAGATGAAAAAGGGAATCTGTTAGCTATGTATTCTGGTCCAATTAGGGTGGGAGATTCCTTGAGGGCTGAGATACTAGCAGGTCTTGAAGGGGTACAAAAGATCAAGGACATACATATTAATAAATTGATCATAGAAAGAGATTCTGAAATTGTGGTGAACTAGCTAAAAGAGGACAACTCTAAGCACTGGAATTACAGCAATAAAAAGAGGAAATTTAAGTGGCTGACTAAGGACATTGAAATTCAATATATATGGGTAAAGAGAAGTGCAAATTCATTGGCAGATGGTCTGGCTAGGGAAGGGGTGAACAAAAACTCTATTTTTTGGGCTGCTTTGTAATTGCTTTACGGTTTGGGTGTACATTGGTGTATTAGGGAGTAAAGATTTTTTAGCTCCTTTGCTATGTAATTTCTCAATCATTTAATAAAATTCACAATTATTGATCAAATAAAAGAAAATATATGTATTTATACATATATTTTTTTAGATTTGGTAAGACGGTTGCCTAACCCTAAGTACAGGTTTGATATTGTATATTGTGTCTGATAAATTTGTAGGTCTGCTATATTGCCTTTTGCTATGAAATCATATGTGCAGCTTGGTAACTAGAAGGGAAGAGAACTGATGAGAACAAATATGATTTGATGCAAGATCAGGTGGCTTTTGTGCTTGCCAAGATGGCTGCTAAGGTGATGTAGAAAGAAATTAAGGATTTACTTCACTTTATTGTGGTTGTTATGGTTTTAATTTTACAGGGATTTGGTTTTGGGTTGCTGCAGTCATTATTTGAATAGATCAATTGTTGTTTTTAAATTATTTTCTTCAGCCATATTGGGAACTTTCTAACACTGAATTATTTTTATATCTTTGTAGGTTGCAACTTTCAAGTGGAAATCTGAGTGTACCATTACCAAAATTTGTGTTGATATGTCTCTATCTGGATATCCAACTTCCTAACATATTCATTCTTCATACCTCATATTTCAGTTCAAAAGAGAGAAGTCTTCCAAGGGGAAAGCAGCCAACCTTCAAAGCATAATTCAGATTTGTTCACTAAGAAGATATTTTTCATTCCTACTTGATGTCCCAATGTTGAACTCATTTTCTTAATTGTTGTTATGAACATCTATCTTTCTCAAACAATGAAATATTGATATGAACATCTAACTTTTTTTATCAGCAAAGAAATTCATTTGTTAATTTAAACATTTGAAATTAAGCTACAGGTATACATCTAACTTTTTAAAAATGAAATTTAGTTGATGCACTTATTATTCCTAGAGACATACTAAAATATATGAACCATATTAGTTATTCAATTTTTACCACAAACTTATTCAATTGCTTCTATATATAACCTAACTTATTAAGTTTTGTTTCCCATGCTTAGCTCGGGCCCCTTCCACTAGTAACATATTATAACCATTTAGGATACAGCATTCACCCACCTAATGGATTCCCAAAACCTTGCCCCAAAGTCAGATATGTTAAAATCCCCAAATTTTGTATGAACCAATACCCATTCTACAATTATCTTTGCTATATGCCCACATCCATGCACAGCATTTCCACGTTCCTTGATTTATCCTCAACAACCTATTCCTCTTCTTCCATATTCCCCATGAAATAGTAAAAGGAATGCAACTCCAAAATATGCTAGGCTTCTTGCTACCATGAATCTTTGGCCATCTAAAGAAAATCTCTTCAGGCCTCAAGCGGATAAAGTTGGATACTAAATAAAGAAGAGAAGAAATGCCAAAGATCAGTCACTTTCCTGCACTTTAAACAACCGAGACACATCCTCCTCAGTGTTACAGCATAGGTAACATGTACTTGCAATCAAAACACCTTCAAGTGGCCCTAACTTATAATATTATCCAAAACCAGTAGCCACACAAAAGGCTTTCACCCTTACACTGTGTTTGGTTTGAAGGAAAAAGTAGGGAAGGAAGGAAAAGGTAGGGAAACCTTTACAAACCTTATATAAGTTTCCCTACCTTTCCCTTCCTTTCCCTACCTTTTCCTTCAAACCAATCATAGCCTTAGAGGAACAGAGTTCACCAAATAGCTTTGATGTTAGAAGATTCTACCTGATTTCTTATAATAGCATTGTAGAACAACTTGACTGTAAAACAGCCATTCCTACATTCTTTCTACCATCTATCATTCCTCTCTGGTGCAGCTATCTTCACCTGTTCAAGTTTGTTTAATAACATAATGCATTCATATACTTCTCTTTCTAGAAGTAGTCTTCTAAAGTTTGGATACCAATCTGATATTTTCATTCTCATCCCTTCAATTCCCAAGACCTACTTTTCCAAACTTTAAACTAAGTTATAAACCTACATAATAATTGGGTAAGTAAAACTTCTTGAGAACTAAAAAGAATATTTCTGTATCATTTCTCACCAATTGCACAAAGCTCCTCAAAATCATTGAGATATCGGGAACTCAGTAGAGAAGAAGTATTTTGCCCTCCAAAATCAAGTGTGCTTTTCCAAAACTGAGGTATTGAGGATGAAACCTATTAAGTGGCACCCATTTTGCAGTCAGAAAGCAAACACAAGTTTTTATAATAACATATAAATCAAACTTAAATGTAAGATAAAAATCCAATAAGAAGAAATAGAAGATGTTAACCATGTGCTGCTGAAAAACATGCTCAAAGGCTCTGCTGAAAAGCAATGATGGTTTAGTCGACAGATCCCTCATCTGTTCTGATAGAATCTGAATCAATTCACCATTGGTCAAGTTAGAATACATGATCAAGAGCTTTCTTGAAAAATGATCATTGCTTAGCAGCCAAGTTCTACATAAATTCCGGGGAAAAAAATGGGCACTTATTGTTTCTATGAATATATACAAGTACCAGTGTGGGATCTTAAATCATAAACACTTCAATAAGAACAAGCTGAATGACCTACCCCTAAATTGTACAGTTCTGACGCTATTCCTGGTAAAGCATCAGCTAAGGAACCTTTAGAAGCACAAGCAAGGCGAAGTAGATGAACCTAAGGGAAGCAGAATTCAGTACTCCACAAAAGATTAAGTTTTAAAAGTTCATGATCAAAAGAAATAAAAGCAGAAAATACCATAAGTAGATCTCTTTTGATAGTATGAGATGCTTGATCATGTGTAATGGAAGTTGAAGACAACGAATTTGAAGGCTCAATTTCTAAAAAAGTATCATCATCTTCCTTTACATTTTTCTCTTCATAAAACTCCTGTCAAAGCGCATAACAACAAGAAAAAATATCATAAACCAATAGGGATGAGTATTGACAATTTCAGATTCATCATGGTATCATGTCACACTGTTTCTTCATTTATCGGTATCAAAATCAGGAAGGGACAATAAACGTCACCAGTTCCCACCTTTCTTAGGAGAAAGGGTGGGTTGGGTTTATCACTTATGTGCCAGACAAACTTGGGAATTTACTGAGATTTACCCATCCAGTCTCAATGCACCAAATTAATAAAGGAAACCAAAAGAAAAAACAAATTTGGATACATCATACATGTGCCTCTTGATCCTCATGTGTTATATGATTTCTCAATGGTTTTTCCACTGATGGTATACTTGAATCATTCAATATGACCTTATCCTCATCTTCACTTTCTTCTTCAAGAGCATCCAATTTTGCAGAAGGCCATGGGGTTGGAACTTGCTTTGCATCTTGCGGTGTTGAAGGCTTAGCATTGTGAACAAGTTGCTGTTCAGAAACTCTATATCCAACTTTCGAGGTGTCCAGTGTATGGACATGTGTTGAATAATTTCTCACTCTACTTCTGTCAGTTCCAAGGCCCCAATCAAATGACTCTTCAAGAGAGCTGAAAAGATCCACCAAGCCATAAACAAAAGGTTCTGTGGCAGAGGAAGTCCTCTCATAAGCAATTTTTACATCCTCATGAAGCTGGTTGTCACTTCCATCCATGCCCGGACATGGTACCTAGCAGGAACAGATTAATAAACAGTTACTAACCTAAGCACATTCCAAAAAAATAAAAAAGAAAAAAATATATTGGACTTTATAATGTGCAAAGACCCCTAAAATATTTGACAACAAGAGTCAAGGTGTCAACACATCATTGCTTTGTTTCAAAACAGGTGGAACCAGTTGGGGAATATTTGAACCTTGTTCAACACATCATTCTTCTCTCCACCAAAAAAGGGGCAAAATTATGTGGAGAATCTGGAGATGCACTAGGGCAGCAATTTTGTGGTAAATGTGGGAAGAGAATAAAGCTTCAATTTTCAAAGAAACGTAGTTATCATTGAGAATATTGCAATTAAGATGGCACATTAGATGAAGTCATTATTCGTTAAAAGCCTTCAAATATTTCTCTATTGATGATATCACAAGGAACTGCAGGTAGTGGCAAGCTCGTAAACAACAAGGAACATCACTAACATCCCTTGGTTGCATGCATCCCCTAATTCCATCAAAGTATGTTTTGATGGATGCAGTTTGGGAAACCCAAGAGAATCAAGAATAGGAGTAATCAAAGATGTTGATGGCAACATAATAGCCCTATTTTCTCGACCTATAGGTCATAGCAATTTGTCATCGACTAAAACTGGCTGTCAATCTAAGCTATGCTCATCTCATGGTGGAAGGAGATTCCAAAGTATATAGTAAAAGTAAAATCCATTAAAACAAAAAGAAAGTATAAGAGAATGTAATAAGGAATTATCCAAAAGAGAATAACATGTGAAATAACAATAGTCCAGCCTCCAATCAAAACAAATCAAAACCAAAAGTGTCACCCCTAAAACTAAGAACATTCCATGCCAAAAAAGTAAATAAATAAATAAAAGCTCCTCTTGTCACAAATCAGTACCAAACATAGCAACAACCTCATCCACCCCCCAAAATTACAGCTCCAAACTTCCACATACTCATCCCAAAATCAGCAATCCCTATCCAACTCAAATACAAATAAGAACCCCCTAATGTTATAAACTGGAATCCCTTAAAGTACCAATCAGATCATTATCCGCTGACTCTACTACTATAGCAACTTGATTCTTCACTATTCTCCTCTTATGAAACTTCTTGACCTCATTCACCCTCTCATGGGGAAACATAGACTTGCTCCTAGAAAGAAACAAGTCAGGCAAGAAAATAAAATGCTTGAGTGCCAATGGCCCAAGGAATATGGTAGGAGAAATAAAATGCTTGTTGTGTTTTGAATGGAATGCATGAGTGGTTTTTATTTTGTGCTTTTCAGCAATATCTTATCACCTGGGAATGAATCATTTTTGTTATGGATAACTTCAAATTTATTTACAACAGCATCACTAAAGCTGTCGTCCCCATATCCCCAGCCCCTCAACCTTTTGTACTTTACGTTGCAGATTTAGAACATTGTCCCCAAAAGAATTGTGTTCTAGTTACCCTTTGCCCAGCCAATCATCCTCTATGCTACCCAACTACTTCCTACAATTCTTCCTCTTCCCTATTCTTGGAACAGGAGTATCCCACACTTTTTTGTAGGAAAAGGGGTAGGAGAAACAACAGAACTAAGTAAAGCATTGAAAAACGAAGAGCAAGAAAAAATCCCTGAGGAGAACTCTGACCAAATTCTATTATTTGGGCAAGACTGGTCTAGAAAAACAGCATCTAGCAAAGAGAACAACTCATTTGCAAAGGCCACTTCTGAATCCCTCAACCCGCTCCTCAAACCCAAGTCCCAAGAACCCTCATTCACACGAACAGAGGAAAAAAGCTTCAATTTGTTTAAAGACAGATAATACATAACCAATAACCTATCGTTAAGAAGAGCATCCCCAATCCACTTGTCTTCCCAAAACATAATTTTATTACCTGAGCAAACATCATACCTTATGAAAGGTTCAAAAAAAAAGGTAAGACTTCAACAATTACTTTCCAAGGGGATAAATGAGAGGCCCTAGGGTTGACACCAGCATCCCATCCATTTGCTGCCATACTATAAGGGAAACTATAACCACTTTCCTAACAAGGCTAGGTTTCTTAACCTAACATTACCAATGCCTAAACCACCATCCTCTCTCTTCCTAGTGACAATTTCCCACTTCATTAGATAATCCTTCATTGATTCATCTGGTTCTCAAAGAAAATCTCTCATCAGATTTTTAATTTGAATTGCTACCTTAACAAGGATCTTGAAAGTGGACAAGAAGTATACCGGTAGATTGGCCTAAGTAGACTTGATTAGAGTGATTCTACCCCCTAGTGAGATGTAATTTCTCTTCCAATTTGCTAATTTCTTTGTGGTTCTTTCCAAAAAATGTTGCCACAGGTAGCACCTCTTCTTCTTGCCTATTTATTCCCACCACACAGCTTTTATTCCAATTGACTTTCAGGTTAGAGACCCTCTTAAAGTGTGTTTCACTAAATGTTTCAAATTCTCCATCTCCACTGGTTCCCCTTCACAAAATAGAATGATGTCATCTGCAAACTGTAAGTGTGTGACTACCAATTGATTTCTCCTAATTCTCTAACCTTTAATTAAATTTCTTGAGTCAGCCCTAAAAATCATCACACTCAACATCCACTATCAAAGTAAAAAGAAAGGGTGAGAAAGGGTCTCCTTGTCTGAGGCCTATCTTAGCATGCAAGAGGTCTCTAGCTACACCGTTAACCAAAATGTAGTGGCATGTAGTCATACAACCTTTAATCTAGGAGTGTCAATGGACCGGTTTTGGGTTGGACTCCATCCAAATCAAAATCCATTTGGACGGATTGGACGGACCAATAAGACATTGAATTTGGACGGACTGGACGGACCAATATGACATATTGGATTGGACCTGGTTCGTCCATAATAAATTTATATTGGATTGAGCCAATATCTGGTCCATTGATAGAAGATAAGAACATAAGTGTCGATGGACCAGGTTTGAGTTGAAACCAATCTAAATTAACAGGAATTTGAACAGATTGGACAGTCTCTGGACTGGCCCAAAATGGTCCAAAATGTTCTTTGGACTGGATTGGACCAGGTCCATTTGTAATGGACTCACATTGGACTGGACCGGATTGAACCAAATCCAGTCCAATTGACACCCCTACTTTAATCCACTTATACCACCTCTCACCAAAACCTCTATTCCTCAAAACATCCAATAAGAAATCCCAATCTACCAAGTCATAGGCCTTTTCTAGATCAAGTTTACAAATCAAGCCCTTTTCTCCTCTTATTTTCCTATAACCCACACACTCATTGGAAGTTAGGATTTGATCAATGATTTGTCTTCCTCCTACAAAACCCCCTTGATTCGGTGAAAATAAAGATGGGAGTACTTTTTTGATCCTCGACGCAAGAACTTCAGAGATTAACTTATACATGCTCCCAAACAACAACAAATATAAATTAGTATTTAATTGATAGAACTTATGACACTATGAACTAGGGGACTAACATTTGCACATAATAATTAAAAGGCTTAACAATACTCTTCTGTTAAACTTGTAAATGAATTCAAAATTAATTTCATGTAACAATTATGATTTAAACAAAGTGTATTGGTATTAACTGCTCAATGCAGTCTACATAACATCGGAACTAGCAGCCATATCATGATTAAGTGTGAAAACATACAGATTTGTCTGATTGGCCCACTGGAACAACTTCAGATAGGAACTCTTGAGCAGCCTCCACCAAATTGAAAATCATGACTCGTCCTTCTCGGGCATTGAAGTTTGCCTAGATATGTTATTCAAAATTTAATTAGAAAATGACAAATTAAAACATTTGAAAAAAATGAATCAGATTCAAAAGATTTTATTATATGAAGTATATGTGGAAACATGGATAACTTCAATGTCCTTCTCGGACATTGAAGTTTTCCTGGCATATGTTATTAAAAATTAATTAGAAAATGACAAATTAAAACATTTGAAAAATGAATCAGATTCAAAAGATTTTATCATATGAAAGTATATGTGGAAACATTGATAACTGCCATTGGTGTCCTTCTACACAACATGACTAATAAAATGACATTGACAAAGAATGGAAGACATTGGTCCAAATACCATGGTGATCAAGGTGTGAAGGTGATGCCTAGGCTATAAGTTTAGGGATCACATCTGTAGTTCCAGACCTTTTCACCTAGTACCCTGATTAGAAGTCACTCCTGAAGCATTCAATTCAACTATTGGAGGGGTGCATCCCATCACAGTAATAGCTTGCTTTTCCAATGTCTCTTAACGCAATTGAGTATATCCCTCAATTGGGTTTCACTATTTGTTAATATTAAAGCCAAGCAAATCCAAAACAAGGCTAAGCAATAATATCAAACTTGAGGATCAACAGCAACAACTAGAGAGTCACAAAGTTCGAAAGTACTTCACAGTTCACATAGGGGTCCAATTAAATATTTGTCAATACAAACACACCACACATATACCTTCATTCCATTACACTATACAATGGTGATATATTGTCCCTTCTCATAAGGAAGTACAAGTATGTCAACCTGCTCAATTCAACTTTCCAAAACTGACCAATGGTTGAGAACCTTTATAAGTCTCTAGTGATCATGTCATGTCACTAAACCAGTAACTTGACATAATCATTATTTGATCTTTAGGTCATACATTGTCCAACAGGTTGAGATCATAAATGTGACTAAATTATGCACTACAACCATCGACTGTTAGAGCAGGACCCCGTCAAGATATGAAATAGATTAGAAGGAGACTCATTTAGGATTGGAAGAAGAAAACGCATATCAAAAACACCAGTAAAACTAAAATCAGAAAAACAAATTCAAAAATGGTGACATCAACACTAGTAAATGGTGACACAATATAGGACTGCACTTATTAAGTTTGAAATAAGGTGGCATTTGATAAATCTGAAAATTCAGATCTGAAAAGTTAAAAAAGATATTAGAAGTGTCTGAAATCTGAAAAGAGGCATAGATGCTTTTCTACTTTTTAGAGGATCTGAATCCATAAGTTTGTTTGTGTTGGATCAACCTTTTACCATCTGAAATTTACTGATTTTACTATTTTACCCCTAGAACATACTATTTGTACATGTTGAGTTCAATTTGCATTATCTCATAAAAAATAATTTTCAACCTCAAAATAATATTGAAACAATACAAATAAAAAATAATAAATTAATAAAGAAACGATTAAAATTAAAAAAAAAATAATTAATGACTATAAAAATATTAAAATAATTAATAATTAATAATTTACACAAATAAAAATTAAAATAATTTTTAAAAATTAATGAAATAATTAAAAATTACTAGTTAATAAAAATAATTAATAAATAATAAATAACACAAGAAAAATTAATAAAAAATAATTAATGTTTAATAAAAATATTAAAATAATTTATAATTAAATATTTTTACTCACCGAACCACCGCTGCTGCATGTTGCAGCGGCGGTGGCGGTGGTGAAAACACAGGGGAGGGAGAGAGGGAGAGGGAGAGAGAGAGAGAGAGTGAGGACAGGGGGAGAGAGAGAGCCGCCACTTCAAGTTGCAGCGGCGGTGGCGGTGGTGGGAACATAGGGGAAGGAGAGAGAGAGAGAGAGACGTCCTTCCTCCCTGAGCGAGAGCGAGAGAGGCATTCTTCCTCCCTACGAAATGATTAGGTTTTTTGGATTTGGGGGTAATCAAGGGTAGCATGCATCATTTCTAAAAAATAGAAGGGTAGATTCAACCTTGCACCGGCTCTGAAACGCGTTTGAGTGCGTTAAGAGTCAGCCCAAGGTCTATTATTTTCAGATCTGAATATAAGATTCAGACCATGTTTAAGAGGTAAAACCAAACAAGGGGTGAGGTCTGAAAAGCAGCATTTTCAGATTCAGACCTCTGAAAAGTGCAATCAAACGACCCCTAACCCAAGAAAACACACTTTACATTGCCACAATCAATCTTATCAAACTGAACAAAAAATGTGAGCAAAACAAATTCGTCCAAGTATACATGGTGGAAAGAAGAAAAAGGGCTATCAAGGAATAGAATAGAGTAATGAGTTTTGCTACCTTAAACTAAAGAAAGAATACAATTCCTGAGGTAACATGCAATGGAAACAGTATTAATCCTAAAGAATTTATCAAATAGCATTTGAAAAAGGACCCTAGACCCTAGTAACTTCAAGACGGTCTGCTCAGCAATACCATTTTGTAGGGGTTCTTACATAAGAAATCTGATGTCATATACCATGATGATTAACAGTCAAAAAAGACGAAAATAGATATTCTTCTGCATTCTCAGACTATGGTGTGCACATAGCAGAATTAAATTGAGTAAAAAGCTTTACAATGTATCTAAATTTAGCCCTTCATTAACAGCAACTTTTAAAATTAAAGATCAATAATTTGGATGGCAACAAATTTAGCTCTCCATTTCGATCTATTTAAATTTAAAATTTCAAACTTGAGACCACATTTTGCATTCATTCAAATGTAGGTCCTGAGATGTGCAGAAGTTCTTATCTAAAACAAGATTTCTTGTATAATTAAACTAAAATTCCACTGAAGATTGAAAGAGAGAATACAAAGAGCATTGAACACCTTCAGTACAAAGATGATATCTGGATATGAAAAGACCAAAAATCCAGACACACATTTTTTAGCATGCATGTCTATCCCTGACAAATCAAATTTCAAGATTCAAATAACCCCTAAAAGACAATTTGGCGATGATAACTGCTTCTGGTATGCACTTGATATTCACTCAAATGATTACCAGAATTGGAACAACTTGGTGTAACATTCTACTCATGGTTAATTGGTTTGGTGAGTAATTCAGACATGAAAGATTTAAATGATGTCATCTTGACCTGATCATGAAGAAGAGACAGGAGGTTATTTGCATCATTTTCCGATAGGCCCTTCTCTGCTGTTATTTGCAACCTTGGACACTTGTAAGGATACCCAGGCAAGCATCTGATTATAGTAAAAAGGAAGAATAACATCAAAATGAGAACCACACCTGAAATGAAAGCAACAAATTTATCTAAATCATGGCACACCTTACTGAGAGAAGAGCAGAAACATCAGGATCCTCGGACTCTGTACCTTTAGAGTAAGGCCTTCACATTTCGCATACACAATCAAAACATGTATATGTGTGTGTTATATGCATATACAAGCAATTAAGTGCAAAATACCTGAGTTTTATAATGAACTGAGGGGGTAAATCTGAGACAATTTTGAAATCTTCTTGAAATATTGCACCCCTGAACACCAGAAAATAGACCATGAAAAGGTGCTACTACTACAATTAGTTTAGTACCTTTTTTTTGATAAATAAGGTTAGTACTTAAATACACAGACTTGGACAGTTCAATTAAACAACATTTACAAACTTTAAACATAAATAATGGTATTTATTTATGATATACCCATGCACATTGTGCACACTCATCAGTCATTCTTTAACTCCTCCAAAGAAGAGTCCGATAGCACGCAAAAAGTACATGTAAGGTACGCCGGTGGCAGAAACCAAAATGTTGCTGAATACCCAATATAGGACAATGAACAAGGAAATTTATTATAATAAAGAAGACAGCTCCCACTCCGGACTAAATATCTTATTTCCACAGGTACCCCGGTGGTCGACAATATCCACGTTCTACACATTTATCTTACAATTCATCATGGATTTACGAACAACGAATCATTTTTTGGAGTATAAGTATCAATGAAAGAAATACACCTGAAAAAGAAACACTCACAGGGCAGTAAGCTCCTCAGAAAGAATATCAGCATCATAGCCCGCAGGAGAAGCAGGGTCCTTGGAAGAAGCCCTGCCCTTATTCTTCCGGCCACCACCCCCTCGTTTCTTCTTCTTAGAACCCATTGAACTGCATTTCTTGGTTCAGTCCGTACCGCTTGCTTAACCAAAGAATCCAAATTCAATTACGTCTCTACTCAGAACTCAGTTTCATCCAAGTCCAATTTCTAAATCACCTGCCTAGTTGTCTCCCGTTCTTCTTTCAACAGCATTCCAGCATTAATTTCAAGTTATCACAATTTCCGTTCTATTAATTATTATAAAAAAAAAAAAAAAAGAAATCTTCTCACAATCAAACACTTCGGTGCAGAGCTTCAGATCATGCACAGGAAGATTAACTTAAAGGAACAACACAAGATGAATGAATCCTCGCTTGAATGAATACGTACTTCCCAAACAAAGCAACAAAAACCCTAGCAGTTCAAAAGGATTTGTTTGAACCCTCAAACCATAACATGGGAGAGCAACTTGAGATGATGCCAAGAAAATGAATCTCGTCTGTGAATCTGGGAAGAAAGAGATTAAATAATTAGAAAGTAAATAACTGAAATCGAAGGGGATCAAACTTCAATACTCGGATCTGTCCAATAAGTAAAAAAAATGGCGGGTATAGAATAAAACGAATTCAACGAGCAAGCGGCCAGGTGCGAAGAAGGTCATCGTCATTTTGATCGACTACTGTTAGTATTTAGTCTACTATGTGCAAGTGGGTAGTGAACGCGAGCTCGGATCTGCTACCCACAAGATGTTCCCACATCTCTACCTACAAGATATGACAACTGTGTAATTCTTGGGAAATGTTCCCTGGTCCTATGGATGTGGGAACACAGATCCGAATCGATGAACCCTACCTAATCCGAGTTGTTAAACTCCCCAAATCCCAATTAGAAACCCAATAAAGAATCGGGTTTGGAATTTGTAATCGGTTCGGCCCAATTACGAGCTGGTTGAACCATCGTTTAAACTTTAAAGGGTAAAATGCAAAAATCTCTCTTGAAGTTTTTGATAATCATAAATATGACAACTGTATAATTCTTGGGAAATGTTCCCTTACGGGTGATGGTGCTATGGATGTGGGAATACAGATCCGAATCGATGAACCCTACCTAATCCGAGTTGTTAAACTCCTCAAATCCCAAGTAGAAACCCAATAAAGAATCGAGTTTGGAATTTGTAATCGGTTCGGCCCAATTACGAGCTGGTTGAACCATCGTTTAAACTTTAAAAGGTAAAATGCAAAAATCTCTCTTGAAGTTTTTGACAATCATAAATATGACAACTGTGTAATTCTTGGGAAATGTTCCCTTACGGGTGATGGTGCTATGGATGTGGGAACACAGATCCGAATTGATGAACCCTACCTAATCCGAGTTGTTAAACTCCCCAAATCCCAAGTAGAAACCCATTAAAGAATCGGGTTTGGAATTTGTAATCGGTTCGGCCCAATTACGAGCTGGTTGAACCATCGCTTAAATTTTAATGGGTAAATGCAAAAATCTCTCTTGAAGTTTTTGACAATCATAAAAATCTCCCCTATAATTTAACTTTAGCAAAAATCTTCCCCAACAACTTTTGAAAAAATCAACAAAAATAAAATACCTCCCTTTTCATCACTTTCATCAATGATTAAGCCCTCCAATTGTTTGAATACTGTTCATTTTCTTCCTCAGGACGCACAGTGGCAGAATGGCGGTACACTCCCCCTCCAACCTTCCTAGTTTTTACTAAAATAGCCATCTCTCCTTTCTCAGTCCTTTACTACTTCTTTTGGGGGTAGCCGGAGCTCCGGCTAGTCGGTTGTAGCTAAGATCAACCGTCCGTATTCTGACTTGGTTCCACGGTCGAACAAGGCCGTTGAACAGGTTCCTCTGTAGCTGAAGGTTTGTGATAGGAAATGAGAAGAGATTGCCAGGAATAATGCTTGTAAACCGGTTCATGCTCAAGTCCAGGTAGTTCAACCGATTGAGCCGTGACAATAGTCAGTCGACCGGTCCTGTGAGACGACTGTAAGACATTGCCAGGTACTGGAGCAACGAAGGCAGAAACGATGGTCAGAGAATGTCGGAGAGGTCATTGTGCTTGAGGTTGAGGCAAGTTAGGGCTCGTGATAAGAACGGAGGGACTGAACTAGACAGATGGTTGTGACAGAGAATGACATTGTATAACAACGGGAGAATTCCGATTGTTCGGGGAATCTGGCCTCTCAGTTGATTGTAGCTGAGATCGAGCGTTTGAAGGCTCCGAAGCTCTGCAAGATTCATCGGAATCTCCTCGAATATGAAGTTATCGCTAATGGCGAGAAACCGGAGGTTCTTCAACTGTGATAGCGTTTGAGGAAAACTACCAATAATTCTACAGGAACAATGGAGAGTTTGGCTAACGCTGAAAGCTTACCGATTGCAGGATCGAGACGACCGGTTAGGCTAGGAAAACCAGCTCTGGGATCACCTAGGTTCAAAGCGATGACCTTATCGGCTTCACAGTACACACCAGCGAAGTTGCACGGATCGGAGGTAAAGTCCCAGGAGGAGAAGAAATTCGAGCCTGGCATGTTCGTATTTGTGCACGTTTTCACCCGGAAAAGGGAAATAGGCTAAAGGGATTAGCCGGGTAACTATTACTCTCTGAAAAATTCATTTAGACTGTTAAAGCTGGTGGCGCTTGGCTGCATTCAGTTTATGTGCTTGTTTTATCCCAAGGGAATGTTGATTGTTGACCATTACATTGGTTTTATTGTTACCGTACCCACTCAACTCACTCTATTTTGGATTTTATGCAAACTAATTACTAATTAATATATACACCATTATGACTAAGATCGTAATCTGGTAAGAGATCAGATTAGATTTTGGCCTCATTCGTTTTCATTTATCTCGGTAAGTGAGTTTATCATAGGAAATGTTTTTGGGTAAAAATTATCCGAGTAATATAATTTTGGTGTTCGTATTTGTGCACGTTTTCACCCGGAAAAGGGAGATAGGCTAAAGGGATTACCCGGGTAACTATTACTCTATCAAATAGAGAGGGTGTAAGATAGAAAATGCACAGAAAGGAATGCACTACAGAACTAAAATATAGAGAGCAGAGACTGTAGGTTCATCGAAGTTCATCATCTCCGTCTCTGAAAAGAAACAGAGAAGAGATAAGAGAAACCTAAGGAAGCAGGGAACTCTGGTTTGTCAAGAAAGGCCTGTAAGGGTTTTAAAGAGGAAGGAATGACCTTTTCTACTACTTTTCTATGAGAAGAATCTATAGATTTCTCGTTCGAGATTTCATGAACGCTTTAATAGTGAAGCAGTTGAAGAAGATAAACCGTGTTCGAGTGGATTATGGAGTGCACCCCATTCTGCTGCTATGCATCGTGAGAAAGAAGATGAACAGTGTTCAAGTATTTGATGACACATGGCTATTTTAGTAAAAACATATGCACATTAATTTGTAAAAGGGTAAAATAGGTATTTTGAAAAAAAATATCATCTCTTTAACGTTTTTCATCTTGGTCATTGACGGAAGGGAGGTATTTGTTGAATTTTTCAAGAATAGATGAGAGGTTTTTGCTAAAATGAAACTATAGAGGAGGTTTTTATGATTGTCAGAAACTTCAGGGGAGGTTTTTGTATTTTACCCAACTTTAAAAAGAAAAGATGCCACATCAGTGTCATGTGGACGTTTATGTTCCAATTGCTAAAAGTGTTGTTTAGTTTGAAAATTTTGAACTAAAAGCATCCATGCAACACAATGGATAAAAACCAACAATAGCGGCCATTGGGGGGCATTTCCTCTATTGGGCATGCAAGATCACACTCCCCATTGCTAGTTAGCTATAATATGTAACCAGTGCTATACTATGTAACCTTTGCTAGATCTCCAATCAAATTGAAATTTTTGTCCCATACCATGCAAGAAAAAATTATGTGAGTTCATGCCCACTTAAGAGTTGCAATTAATGGATCTATTTAGAACTGTTTTGTATTAGTAATATTTATAATTTTTTATGGAAAATTGCAAATTGGCATCCTCTACTTTGGATCTAGTCTCACTTTGATTCACGAACTTCAAAATGTACCAATCTAGTATCTAAATTTCTAAAACATGTCAACTTAGTACCTACCGTTAACCAAGTCATCAGTTATGTGTATCACGTGACATTACATGCAAGTTGTGGATATCGAGTTTTTCAAGGGAACGATAATGCTCGAAACCAATAAACCTAGGTGTCAGACTGAGAGGAATTGGGAAATAGAGATCAAAAAAAGAAGAGAGATGATTCAAACTTCTCAAGAGAAGGGCATTTGAATGGTAGGGGTGAGCAAAAAAACTCGAAAAAAATGAACTGATCGAAACCGAACCAAAAAATTGATTAACCGAACTGGTCAATTTAGTTTCAGTTCAGTGTTTTTAAAAAACCGAAGGTACCGGTTCAGTTTCGGTTAACCTATACATATATTTCTATATATTTTATATATTTATGTATATTATATATATTTTTATATATTATAAATTAATAAATATGCATTATATATAAATATATACATTTATAATATATGATATATTATTTATTATTTAAAATATAATATTTTATATATATATTTATAACTTTTTATTATATATTGTAAAAATTAAAAAACTGAAAAACCGATGAATCGAACTGACGATTAACCCAATCGGTCAATCGGTTAACCGATTAGATTCGTTTACTGGTTTTCCAAAACCGATAGTACTGGTTCAGTTACAAAAAAAGGCTCATGGTTCGGTTAACCAAACCGTGAGCACCCCTATTGAATGGTTGATAAAGAAAATTAGATGACAACTGAAGGGCATTTGTGCCTTTTCACATGCCACTTAATGGCTAGTTAAAAGCATATACTAGGTCGGCATGTTTTGGAAGTTTAGGTACTAGATTGGCACATTTTAAAGTTTGGGGATCAAAGTGAGACTAGGCCCAAACTACATGGTATTAATATGCAATTTTTCCTAATTTTAAACTAATCCAACAAATTTCCTTCCTTCCACGAAAGTAAAACTCAAAGTCCTATTCTCTCTCACTCTCCCTCTCACTCTTTCTTTCCCCTATAATCCTTATCTTCTCTTTTTTTTTCTTTGGTCTCACCCTTCTCTTCTCTTATACGTTCTCTAGCTTTGCTCTCTCTCTTTACCAAAAAAATGTAACTTTTCGAAGCATTATTCAAACCACTACAGCTCAAAAATTGACCCCATGCCAACTAAGTGGAGTACGCTGTCCTATAGAGTGTTTTGAGTGCTCTCTTGTAAAGTGCTTTCTTCCACCCCCTAGGAGCTTGTCTTTCTTGTTCAAGCTTTTCATAGTGATTCCGTAATTTTTCTCTTGCTTGTCCCCTTAGTCCTTATGGGTTTGGAGGATGGAGATGATAGAAATGATTTGGGAACTCCGAAGATGAATGCTAGGGCCGTGATTAATACCATTAGAGGTTTCTAAAGAGAACAGAAATGCAAACTTGAGTGGTTGGAAGATGATATTCTCTGGATAACTTTCAAAAAAGAAGTCCATCTCAAGTGGGTTCTTTCAAAGGAACCATGGATTGTTAAATAATAGAGAAAATTCTTAATCAGTACCCTGAACTTTAGGGATCGTCTCAAGTCAGTCCCTGAACTTTGGGTTGTTTGATCACATTAAGGTTCTTCACGTACGTCGGTAGGGACCCAGAGAGCTGCCTTCGCTTCCTAACTACCTCTTCCGTGGATCGAATCACTATGCGTTATCTTCCGAACCGGTTGTTAAGCATATCCGTAAGCCTCTTCAGCGATTTAGAAAAAATAGCGGTTAGTTTTTTTGTAATTGTAGTACCCAAACTTTTAGAATGTGTCTAACAGGTCCCTGTCACTATTAGTTTGTCAATTAATTTTGGAAATGTCAAAACTATCATTCAATAGAAGACTTTGTTCATTGTATTCCACCTTGAGATAAAAGACGAAAATGTTATAGATTGTTACCAATCTAACAAGTTTTGTGACTTTTGTGTTTTCAGTTCTTAAAATAAAATGGCAAGAGTTAGCAGAACATCTTTCCCTAAGATATTAATTTGATGACTAATATGAAGCAACAATTGCAAAATGTGAGTTCTATCCCTCATAAACTTTTGTCAAAAATTCTCATAAGTTGTTTGGTTAAGTGTAATCAAATATGAATGAAAACTAACAAGGCCACCAAGAAACCAGATAGCAACAAAGCTGAACATTGCCAATGTAGTTGTCTTTGGGTAGTTCCTTATTGTCCCAAACAGTCCAATGTTGGACTCTGAAATTCTTTGTTTGATTTTGTGACAGCAGAAGATGAAGATGTAGACTAAGAAAACCAAGGCTAAAGATGCGAATGTCAAGTAAAACCTGTAGTTTCTTAGTCCAATACATGCATTGGCCGATCTAGGGACAATGGTGATCAAATTTCTCAACATAGTTATCGCAGATTGCATAATGACTACTTCTTGGCGATTTGAAAATCTTGCAAATCCAGTAGAATTGTAGTTTCACTTCCACTCCATTGACAATTACCTTATTTTTTCTTATTCTCTCACTTTGAAGAGTATCTCCCTCTAATGAGAAGTGTAAACTAGTCCTGAATAATGGGAAAAGGCACAACTTCATTCATCTTGGTTTAACCAATTTGGAAAAGTGGAGCCATGTGGCCTATCTAACAGAATATTTGTTACAACTGACTTCTTCAGTCTTGGCTAACACCCCCCCTCCCCCTCAAATTGGATGTGTGATAGAACAACACCCAACTTGGATAGTAATTGGTGAAACCGATCAAATTCTAGTGCCTTGGTGAAGATATCAGTAGGCTAGTAAAGTCCAGAAATGTGATATGTCTGAATCTCTTATCGTTGAATGTGTTCACACACAAAATAACAGTCAATGTCGATGTGTTTTGTGCGTTCGTTAAAGACTGGATTGGCTGCAATGTGAATGGTAGCCTTGCTGTCACAATGAAGTTGCATTGAGCAAGAGAGATTAATTGTGAGGTCAGCTAGTACTCTCTTAAGCTACAATAGTTCAGTGGCAAGAACAGCCATTGCCCAGTACTCGGCTTCAGTAGAGGATCGAGAAACTGTATGTTGCTTCTTGGTTTTCCACGATATTGGAGATTCCCCTAGCATGGTGATATAACCAGTAGTAGAACGTCTGGTTAGAGGGCAACTGGCCCAATCAGAATCACAAAAACCTCTTAGAATGAAATCATTTGTTGAAGATAGTAATACACCATGTGTTGGAGTATCCTTGAGGTATCGTACCACCTGAATAGCAGCATCAAGGTGTTCTTGATGTGGTTCATGCATGAATTGGCTGAGTGTGTGGACATCAAAACTCAACTCAGGCCAAGTGATGGTAAGATAAACAAGACGACCTACCAGTTTGCGGTAGCGGGCAGGATCGGATAAAAGCAAGTTGGAGTAACCAATGAGGTGCTTTTGTTGTTCCATTGGGGTGGAGCACAGTTTGCAATCTTGCATTCCAGTTTTAGTCAATATATCCATGATGTACTTGTATTGACATAGAAACATGCCTTCATTAGATTTAGAGATCTCAATGCCAAGAAATAACCTCAAGGGCCCAAGGTCCTTGGTCTTGAAACAATTATTTTTGAGGGATTTGATGCAGGCTGGATCATCTCCGGTAATGATTAAGTCATCAACATAGGCTAGGACTGCAATGTAAGAGTTATGTTGTTGAGAGGTGAATAATAAATAGTTAGCAATGGATTGTTTAAATCCAATGGCAATGAGGGTTTGAGTGAATTTTGCAAACCATTGCCGATAAGCCTGCTTGAGACCATATAAGATTTGTTTATGCAACAAATACAATGATCCCCATGTGAGAGTAGGCCAGGAGGTGGGGTCATGTATACCTCCTCATGAAGATCTCCATGTAAAAAGGCATTATTGACATAAAGTTGATGTAATTCCCATTGCTTAACCGCAGCTACAGCAAGTAAGCATCACATAGTGACCATTTTTGCAACCGGGGTGAATGTATCATGATAATCCAAGCCCTCTACTTGACTAAATCCTTTGGCTACGAGTCGGCTTTATTCCTATCAATAAACCCGTCAGCCTTTAATTTGATTTTGTACACCCATTTGCATCCATTGGGTCGCTTGCCAACTGGTGGGTCCACAACTGTCCAAGTCCCATTGTGATCTAGGGCATCCAATTCTTCTCGCATGGCTTGCTGCCAACGAGAATCCTGCATGACCTAATGAAAGGAGGAGGGTTTAGTTAGTGGTGTGGTGGGGGTAGTTAAGGCTTGAGGAGAAGAAATGGATGGTGGAATTTTACAAACAAAATCACAGAGGTGAGATGGTATTTTGCGGGTATGAGTGGGTCTATCAAGAATGGCAAGCTCACTGGGTCTGGTTGAGGGGTTAGGGGGAGATTTACTTGTATTAGGCACAACATTGTGTCCATTGTCCAAATTTGGTGAGGTATGAATATTTGTGTTATTAGGGTCATGTTGGGCAACAACTGGCTTGGGATGAGAGTCAAGAGAAAGCAGATCATCAGCATATTCAATGGGAGTTATCACATGATCCTCATCCGGTTGTTGGACTGGGAAGGGAAACTCTTTTTCGTGGAATGTGACATCACGAGAGGTGAATATATGATGTTTTTCTATGTCAAACACCCGGTATATAGCCAACAAAGATGCATCAAATAGTACGAGCAGCAAATTTATCATGAGGTTGTGGCCAAACTTGAGCGTAGCATAAGCAACCGAACACTTGGAGATGATTGTAAGTCGGTGGCTTGCAATGTAGCATCTCATATGGTGACTTGCCAGATAACAGAGGAGTAGGAGTGATGTTGATTAAGTATGTAGCTGTGATGAGACATTCTCCCCAAAAGGTGACTGACTGGAAGGGAAGCTTGAAAGCATAAAGCACGAGCTACCTCCAATAGATGTTGATGTTTCCGTTCAGCTACACCATTCTGTTGTAGTGTATCAATACAAGATCGCTGATGAACAATGCCATGTTGAGAAAAGAAATTTAGCATGGGTCCATAGGTGAATTCACACCCATTATCAGACCGGATTTGCCCTGTTGATGACAGAAGGTCTACCATTGAATAGAACAAGGTAAAAAAATGGTAAACTTCATATTTGGTTTTTATTAGAAAAGTCCAACTACATCTTGAAAAATCATCTACTATGGTAGGAAAAAAATGAGCATTTGTGTAGGAAGGGGTCTTATAGCCTCCCTAAATGTCACAATGCACTAGCTGAAATGGGGTTGTGCTTCGAATGTGGCTAACTGGAAAAGAACTCTGCGGTAGCTTTGTGCAATGACAGGGATCACAACAATCATTAGAAATGGGAAGAGAGGCTCCAGGGATGAGAGACATACAAACTTAGAGGGAATTAAGTATCCATTGTATTGAAGAAGCAGAATTAATCTTACCAGATAGATTGGCAAAAATATTGTCTTGTGAATCTTTACTAACAAGGGAGATTAGTTGGTTCACATTCAAGATCAATTGGCGTAAGTCCACCACAGGGGTAGTCTGAGTGGAGGATGACAACACAAGCACTGTGAATGAAATTTCCTTCTCAAATTTATTAGACTTTGATTGTGTCTGCCGATTCCACCCAAGTGGATAACCATGGAGTTCGAAACATTTATCTTTGGTGTGCCCAAGGCACTTACAGTGATCACAAAATGGGCGACTACAACTGGAGGGACGTGTCGTAGTGTTGGATTGAGAAGAAACACTGAGAGCTACAACTTCAAGATTGGACGGAGCTCTCAGAGAAATCGCAAGTTGATGATGCGCTTCTTGGACAATTAGCGCATAAATCTTGCTGAGATTTGGAACATATCCAAGAATGCTAAAGTGAATCATGTTGAACGAGTCTCCCAAATCCATGAGAAATTGATGAATCTTTTCTTTCTCACACTCAGTTAGGAAGTATTTCACAACACCTCTTCAGTTGCAATCAGGCATTGGAGTGATTGAGGCGAGTTCATCCCAAAGGCTCTTCAATCGCATAAAATAGCCTTTCACAAACAAATCTCCTTGCTGGAGTAGAGCAAGATCACGTTTCAGCTGATGTATGCGTGTGATGTCACCTTGTCCAAATCTCTCTTTAAGTTTACGCCAGATCTCAGAGGCTGATTCATTGAAGGCAATACTGTGATGAAGTTCTTTTGTCAATGAATTAAAAATCCACGCAACTACCATTGAGTTGCATTTGATCTAGACATTCTCTTCTGTTAAGGAACTTGGTGGTTTTGGCAGTGATCCATCTACAAAACTGAATTTATTCTTGGCTCGCAGAGCATTTCTCATTGCCCGTTGTCAGGTGCAGAAATTGTCACCGGTAAGCGGACAAGCAACGAGGATCAATCCGGGATTGTTTGATGGATGAAGGTACAAAGGACTGTCAAATAGATAGCTTATCTGATATGATCTAATCTCTTGGCTGGAATTCATGCACAACAAACTGGAGTTCTGTTTTGCCGCCATTGACGCAGAATGGGGCAGTTCTGGCTGAAGCTATAGGGGAAGAGGAACGGGGACAATGATCGAATCAGAGTCGGTGGCTCTGATACCACAGAAAGTACTCATGAATAATGGGAAAAAGGCGCAATATCATTCATCTTGATGACTATTTATAAATAAATACAAGTGGTGTAACTAATTCAGACAAGTGAAGCCACATGGCCTATCTAACAGAATATTTGATACAACCGACTTCTTCAGTCTTGGCTAACAATAAGTGATTACTATTGGGATTATTCTTAGGTCTATTGAACTAACAATGACCAAATTAACAAGAACAAGTACTGTTAAATTCACCGCATAACTGATTATGAGATCGGAATGTTTCAATAGATCATCTCCAACATAAACACAGAATATCCAACTTGAAGTAATTATAGAAGTTGTTGTTAAGAGTAGTGATGCAGCGCGATCCGGGCACTCCTAGCTGGCGGAAACCTGGCTCCTATCTGGCGACGGACGGTACCTGAGAAGAAGAGGGAGGTGAAGAATTCCCGGGGAGCTCGCCCGGTGGGAACACTCCGATGCTTAAGTTAGAACTCTGAGAGAAATGTAGAGAATGCAAAGAGAGAGCTAAGAGTGCAGATGGCACAAGATCAGTACCTTTGCTCCTTGGGGATCGGGGTCCTTTTATATTGGAGTTCTATCAAATCAGGCGTAATCGCCTCTGCCACAGACGTTACTGCCAGAGCTGAGGTGGCGGGTGCAGGTAGCCATTGCAGGGTACAGACCTGTCAGGCGTGCCACATCTTTCAGAAATGGTAGGCACGACGCCGCCTAACGAGGGACGTGGGCACAGCCTCTAAATTCGGCAGGTACTGTTGTCAGGAAGATCTTTCCTGTAGGTTGCCGAGCTACTTTGCACTGAGCTACCTTGGCCCGAGCTACCTTACACCGAGGTGCCGGGGGTGTGCCGAGGCGCTTATGCTTGAGGCGAGCCTTAGGCAAGTATGGACAGGAGTGTTAATGGTGCTGACCCGAAGTGTTTCCACTTCGGGATACTTAGTCGCAGGTCAGGGTGTTCCCTTCTCAGGAAGGAAGAGCTCGAGTCTTAAGAGGAGCTCGGGACTCCTTGCTTAGAGGGAGCTCAGGGCGCTCCACCCTTAGAGAGAATTCGGGGTAAGCTGGGTGTTACTTCCCGACGAGTTGCAACACCCACCGAGTTGTCCGACCGTACTCCGGTGAGTTCGTTACGCCGAGTTATGGCCAGGCTGTCACGCTGAGTTGTCACTTATGCCAGGTCATGTCCACATGTCCCCATGCTACGAGGTTGGGCCAAATCACCCTCCTTCAAGTAGCCATCTTGGATCTAGATGACAGATGAGACGACCTCTAAAGATAAATACTTTTTTCCCGGGCCAAACTTGGTAAACTCTGGTTATTCGTTCGACCCAACCAAGCACTAGACCTTGATCCAAACCAACTTTCTTCACTAAACCATCAAATAAATCTTGGTAGGCCACTCTAATATCAAGCTCTAACCATTTTTTGCCATAAAAATTCCTGAATTCGAGGATGAAGACTTATTGTTCATGAACTATAGACTCAAACTTTGGGTGAATGACAATGAGTGTTATTTCTCTGGCTTCTAAATCTTTATTTAGGCCCTATTTGCTTTTGGGTAAGTTATTTACCCGGTTAAATGTAATTACCTTGGTAGGTTTTCTTGGGAAACACTTATCTAGGTAAGTGCATTTACCCATGTTCTTTTATTTCCCAGGTAAATAAGGTAATGTCCATTTTAGCCATAGAAAACCATTATTAAAATGGGCATTTTTGTCCCATTCAAGTGTTGGCAACTTCCCCCCTAGGTGCAATGGAAAAGTTATTTACTCACCTAGGAGATGGGTATCACTTTCCTGGGTAAGTGATACCCAGGAAAATAAAATTTCCCTGGTCCCCACATAAAGGTGAAAAAAGAGCATGGGATTCTTGGTCAATGGGAACCAAAATCACATTGACCAAATTTCCTCCCTTTCCAAATCCAAAAAACAAGAACGCTCCCTAATTGTAATCCGGATTTTGTTGATAGAAGAAGCCGTCTAAGTATCAATAGGAAATGAGTTCTATCATCTCCAGCAAATTGTAATTGGGGTTTTGTTAATGGCATAAGTTTCTAGTTCGAACCAAATTCGGTGATCAGTTCAGTCTCAAGGTAGAAGACAATGAATAGTGTCTTCTTTTGAAGGGTAGTTTTGACATTTTTAAAAGTTTTAAGTGACACATGTCATCATGTTATATAGATAACTAATGGACTGTTAACGATAATAACCTATTAGACACATTTTGAAAGTTTGGGTACTGCACAGACACGCTTTAAAGTTTAGGAATTAACTTGAAACAACCCCTAAAATTGAGGGTACTGATTAGGAGTTTTCCCTAAAGAATACTTACTTTTATTAAAAAAGGGTGGGATTGTAATTTCACTCCCAAGGCTTCGGCCTTCACAACACTAGATATTATAGTATGCAACCTAAATGTACTAGTGGACATGATGACAAAGACATGGATAGAACGTCTAGCTAGGAACACAGAGAAACCGATTAAGGACCCAAGGGACAATGAAAAGAAAAGGAACAAACCTGTGTGGGGAAGATTTTTAGGCCTCGTTTGCTTTTCGGTAAATTACTTACTCGGGTAAATGCAGTTACCTAGGTAAGTTTTTCCTGAGAAACACTTACCTGGGTAAGTGCATTTACTCATGTTCTTTTATTTCTCATATAAATAAGGCAATGACCATTTTATCCATAAAAATTCATTATTAAAAGGGGCATTTTTGTCTCATTCAAGTATTGGCTACTTTCCCCCTAGGTGGGAAAGTTATTTACCCACCTATGAGATGGAAGTGATACCCAGGAAAACAAATTTTTCCTGGTCCCCACATAAATCTGAAAAAAAAAATAACATGGGATTCTCGGTCAATGGGAACCAAAATCCCATTGACCAATTTCCCCCCTCTCAAAATCCCAAAAAAGAACGCCCCCTCGAAGGTAAGGATTGAAGTTGATGTCACAAGGTTGTGTTACAAATGGGGGTTTTTGGGCCACTGAGAGATGAAGTGCCCAAATTATAACACGAAGACCACCTTGAAAAAATTACTTCTAAACTGGCGATCAAAGCAAGTGAAAATCAAACAACTGAGGCTAATGTTCAATGACTGGCTTTGTGCCTCTGTTAACCAAAATGAATTTTAAGCACACCAACAAAGATCGCGACGCAGGTCCAAACATAACTATTCAAAAGAAAAAGGTAAAAATCCTGATGGTCTTTCTTTGACCGTCTCCGCCATCACTAGATCGCCGTTAGTTTCGAACCTTGCAAATCATGGCCCGACTCCAAGCTCTCTTTGATCCAAAACGGAAGCCATTGATGCGTAAGCAGCGCCACTAGAGAGATCGACGAAAGTGGAGTTCACGCCAATCTGGAATGGGATTTGACCTACGTGCAAGCCAATCTCAATATATCACTCAAAACCCAACTGTTGAAGCCCATTGATAGAAGAATGGAGGTCGTCCATTCGGATATGATAGCTTCTTCAGTTCGCCCATATCTTCGATTAGCAGCTTTTCAAATTGTTCTTATCAAAGCAGAGAGTGAAGGGGGTGTTGGTGTTTAGTCGCCACATCGAGAGGAAGGGGGCGATGAACAGTCCCCTTTCACCAGCTACAGGATTTAGAGAGGACAAACTAAAAAGGGCTTTAGAGAGACAACGGTGGTCGTCGTTGCTGCTACTTATGATTTCTTCAACTTGCAAGTCACCTCCTTGTCTTGTTTCTGATCTGAACCCAGATTTGAGATTGTTTTTCTCCTCAAGGCAGGTGGCTTGTGTAGTGGATGAGAAGGTAGGCAGCAATTTCTTCAACCGCCACTGCAAGCTTTCTCTTCTCTCCGTTCTTCCCCTCCATCAATAGTGGCGGTTTTGGCAACGTACCCAAAATGGCGGTTTCGACAACATGCTCACTAAAAACATGGATGACTGTCATTGGCAACAGCGGCAACCACCAGCGGATCTCCCCTTCCTTTTTTTCTCCTGTGTGTATTGGTCAGACCAAGCGACAGAGAGCAGCAACGAATCTCCCCTGTTCATCTTGCTGAAGCTCTCTGAAAGCCGATGACCACTGCAACATTCGACGGTTGCTGAAGCTCTCCTGTTCTGTTACTCTGTTCGTGAACCCAACAACAATGGGAAAAAGAAGGAGAGAGAAAGAGGGAAAGGCCGATGAGGAAAAATAAGAGGAGAGAGAAAAATAAGGGTTGTGAGAGAAACATATCTAAAGGGTTAAATAGTCCTTTTATCTTTTTGTTAACAGAAAATTAAGGGTGTTAACGGTAAGGGAACTATTAGTCAATTGTTAAAAACAGTAGGAGTAGCATTAGTCAATTTTCAAATAGTAAAGGTAGTTTAAGAAATTTACCCGTGACGAGATGAGTGAGGAACACTTGACATGGAATCCTACCATTATTGTTGTCATTGGAGAGAGGATAGAGGGGAGTTCGGGGACTGCAAGTGAACTACCAGATTACTGCCATTGGAAAAAGGTACTAGTGAACCATAGGTAATGGATGGTAACTGTTGACACCTTTGTTATTTACTAGTAAACACGTATGCAAGTGGTAGTATGGACAGTTTCTAGACAGTTATAAGTGGATAGTTTCTAGATAGTTATAATTGGGCAGTTTCTAAAATGAGAGTAAAGGATATATATGCCCTCTTTATACCCATTGTATGTTTAGACAAGAGGGATAGAAAACGTCCAATGAAAATTTCAGAAAAAAGGGGCATTTAGATAGTATAGATTTATTTAAGGTTAAATACTTAAATTACCACTATAGTTTGAAAAATGAACAATAACTTATCTTTGAGGAATTACTTAAAACACCCTTAAGTTTTCTGATAATGGACAAAATCCCTCCTTATCATTAGAGCAATGTTACAATCATTTTGCATGTGATGTATATAATTTTTCTTAATTCCAAAACTATCATTTTATGGTCAAATTTGCCCTCTATTGCTCTTCAAAATTTCAAAACTAAATCCAATGACAATATTACCAATGAAAGAACTTTAGATGAATTGGGATAAATTACCACCCAATGTCTTCATCGCAGAGGCAGTTGCTCTCTCTTCTCCCTACCGCCATGTCTGTGGCTACTGCAATTGATCCACTTACTGTGGGCCAAGTCATAGTTGATGTTGTCAATATGTTTGTTCCTACTATCACCATATCTGTTTACTTCGAAACAGATGATATCACAGACACCAACGGTTGTGAAATTAAGCCTTCTATGGCTATCAATCACCCTAAAGTTGTCTCTGGCCCAAATGGTGATCTCTATACTCTAGTGATGACAGACCCAGATAATGCCCCCACCCCAAGCGAGTCCACTGTGCGTGCATGAATGGGTTCACTGGATCATCGTTGATATTCCCGGCGCGGTACTGGCACAAACTCTATTAGAGGCAAGAAGATACCTTCCCTACATGAGCCCTCAGCCGCCGATGGGAATACATAGGTACATCCCGGTGCTGTTCAGGCAGAAGAATCTAGTAAAGGACTCAGTCCAACAACCAGCTATTTGTGCAAACTTTAACACTAGGGAATTTGCAAAGCAACCTGGCCTCGGCCTGTCAGTTGTAACTGCTTACTTCAATGCCCAGAAACTCTGAAGAGACTGCAAATGAGAAGCTCTGAAGAGAGATAGCAAAGGGCATACAGAATGGTGTTGCTTTGCTAAGGTACCGGTGGGGGCTTTGAGTCTCATGCATGCGGTTTTCTGGTATACATGTATGATGTATCACCCTATCCAGATAGCATGCGCATCGAAAATGTTGAGTTTGTCCATTAAATAACAACAATAATATATAACATAGCTTTCGATGTTAATTAAAAAAAATTCTATTGTCGACCATGGCAAAGCTAAGAGGCGAGACAATAGTTCTGGTGTCAACTCCCACTCCTCTTTAATCGCCTCACCATGACAGTGAGGTGTGTAGGGCTACTTTTCATTTCAATGTTCATGACTGCATGTACTACAATTTCTGTTGGCAGTCATCAAGAGCAAACCCCATCCTGGCTAGAAGAAGCTTATTCAGCCCATCATCACTCCAAGTCTTCAGTTTCGTTGTGTTTTTCTAACGATTGCCTCTAGCATAAGATGATGGAGGGTGAGGGTGAACTATGTTGATTATATATATAGGTGGGCCTCTCCTTTCTTAGACTCTCTTATAGTTATTGAAAATTTTTATTAGTTGGGTTTTATTTTGAAAATTTAAGGAATAATGAAAGGTAAAAATTAAATTTAATATTTCAATCATTTTTTTTAATCGCGATGTCCATTGTCAAAACCTAAGGGTACTTTAAGCAAATCTTTATTATCCATTTGCTAAACCATAGGGGTGTGGGGTATTTTAAGTATTTAATCTACTTATTTATTTTTAATTCACCAAAAACTAATGGTGTTTTCTCTATTTTCAATGGTCGGATAGTCACTGATATCCATTTCCATTGCCTTTTAGCTTCCGCCATTAATAGTTTCTTCAACCGCTATATCGGCAACAATTAATTTCTTTTGTTCTATATTTTGCTTTGTACCTTCTACTTGTTAGGTATTTTCTTTTTCTCATTTTTTGGATCCAATCGACCTTAGAAAACTTGCCAGATTTTCGATGTGGATGAGGACTCATGAGAATTCAAGAAAATCATTGACTAGATTAAGACTCCTTTCAAATGGTCATCAGTTGGCACATTAATTGATATATTTCAGTAGATTTGACTCTTTTGTATATTTCAATAGATTAACTATTATATCAATTTCTTCAGGGTTTTCAAAACCGGAGTGGACCGGATGGTCGGACCGGAAAACTGGGAACCGATCAGGTTAGGTGACTGATTCCGTTTTACCTCAAAACTGTTGATTTGATTAGCAAACCGTTGACCCGGGCGGCCAAACCGTTTAATGGTTTTGGCTGTTTTTTATTTATTTTTTGTCATAACGAGCCATTCATTCGGTTCAAACAATCGGACCCTTTGGCACAGGAACCAGACCCCTGACTGGTTCATTGTTCGATTCGGTTTTAAAAACCTTTAATTTCTTTGATAGGCGCTGCCAACATTTTCTCTTCTATGTTTCTTTTTTGCTAGTGGTTTTTTCCCAATCTTCTAATTTTTTATTTCCTAAAAAAAATAAAAAGGAAAATGAACTAATTGTTGCATTTTGTTATTGTAGATTCATTGAAACATTAATTGATATATCAGCTCAACAAATTAAAGGATAATAGGCCATATGTGAAAAACACTTCAAAATTGTCTCTTATAAATGTACGGTTTCCAATTAAAAACTTTAATCTCTTGTAAACAAGGAAAAACAAATTGATTAATGTTTAATTATTTGTTTGAATTTTACCTTCAATGTTTTCTTCAAAAATAACATAGCATGTATCAATATATTTGATGCTATCAAGGATTGTAGTAGGCGTAATCCATGAACTTTTCAGGTGATTTATCTAAGAATTCCACTTGTGAACAAAAAACACATTAGAGGCCCCAGGGTGTAGTCCCGGGGGGGGAGAGAACTCCGATAGTTAAGTTAGTTAAAGTGTTAAGGTGGGACAAGAACAAAGAGCAAGTAAGTGAATAAATGTTGTGAGAGCCTATAGGTTAAAGAGAGATAGGGGAAAAGAGTGTAGCAATTTACTACTCCATGTTGGAAGTCTTTGTGACAAGAGATTGATCTTATTGGATACAGTTGTATGGGAGAGCACCAAATATGTAGAGACGAAGTCACCCTTACTCAAGCATACTTTATGGTGAGTAGTGAAGAAAGTAGGCGGCAAGTACAACTACAGGAACCACCTTCATAACACTTTGTACATGTTGGAATAAAGCCGAAAGGGCTGACTGAGAAGAAGGAAGTGATATGTGAATACTGCAAGAAATCAAAGCATAATAAGGACACTTGTTGGAAACTTCATCCAAATCTTCTCCTGGATAGGTTTTGGAACAACAATAACAACAATTTTAAGAAGAATGGTTAGAAAGGGAAGCATAAGATAGCAAATGTTATTATCGTGCATGAAGGTGGAAATAAAGAAAGTGAAGAAAAATCAATCATGGAATAGTTAGTAGTAGTAAAAGCAGAACTTGAAAGGTATGGGAGGTTACTTAATCACTTGGACACAACTATTGCAACATCCAACCCCTTAGGCAACACCTCATCATCCGCATTTTGCTCACTCAGGTACTCGTGCTTCTACAAATCATGCTATTATTTCAGGTAATCATAAAATCCCTTGAATTATTGATTTTGGTGCATTAGAGCATATGGCTAGTATATCTAATGTCTTCTGTCATATCAGTTCCTCTCTCGTAGAGATTGCTGATGGGTCTCTTAATCCCAGCTCTGACAAAGGAGACATCAAAGCCTTTGACACCCTTATTTTATCATTTGTTTTTCATGTCCCCAAGCTTAATACCAACCATTTATTTTGTTAGTAGCTTGACTAAATCTATGAATTGTATCATACCCTTCTTTCCTACTCATTGTGCTTTTAGGACCTAAAATCTCAAAGGACGATTAGGAGTAGCCATTTCAGAACCAAGCATAGCTCGTTTTAGAAGGACCAAACGAGTCACAACCCCCAAATAAACACATTTTGCTGTAGCTTGTTTCAGAATAGGCTGAAACATGACAAGACAACGTTACCAAACGCCTCCTAAATCAGTTGAAAATTGAGGCTCAGTTTGCAAGGAGTAGAAATACAAATGTGTACAATACAAATATATGCAAAGTAATACAAAATGAATTCACCTGAGTTTTGCTATGGCTTGTATACAAAGTAATACAAGGTTCCTTCCAAACTGAGCTGAATGAAATATGAATTCACCCGAGTTTGGACCTGCTGTGAGTCTGTGACCACTTCGCTCAGTCGCTGTGGTGTCATGACTCATGACTGATGACCGACCATTTCGCCTTGTCGCGTTGATAGGGATGAGTTTTGCCTTCACTAGTCTTCACACGTAATAAACATTAACATGGTCTTGGGACATATGGGGAAATCAAATGAGGAGACATAGCAAAGTTTATAACGTAGGTCAAGGCGGACCTGAATTCAAATGTTTAGTTCCAATATAATTTTACACACCTTGCTTAGTTCATGAGTAGCTATAAGCATCATGTTCCCCCTTTTATTATAGATTCTTATCCAATTTCTTGGGAGAGATCATCCATGAGAGGCCTATTAGTCCAATTTTTCTCTAAATTCTTATTCTTAAGATGTTGTCCCAAAAAGGAAAGAAAACAATGCATAAGGAACACAATAGAACACAAGGGAGTGTTATTTTTTTTTAAAGGAAACATGTTATCTAAAAGGACCATTGCTTGGTGCAATGGTAAAACCTCTAGCTGAATGAATGGATAGCCAGGACCAACATTAGGAAATGGCCCTTGTACATGTTATACAAAATGTTGTTTTGGATGAATGGATACAATAAGATATCACTTGTATAAAACCTCAACACCAACCATAAAAGGAAGAATGCAATCAGAAACAATATAAGATTGATTTCAGTGAGGCACTTATTTCTTATTCCTGCAGTCTAGATGAGCTATATAACTTGGTATTAGACATGTTCATGGCCAGGTAATTCGACGGCCTGGCCCAGCCTTGCCCGTTATAAGTCGGGTTTGGTCATAATTTTAGCCCCGCATGCTCGGGCTGGGGCTTTCACAAAAAAGTCCGGTCTGAGCATGAGCACGACATGATACTATATATTAAATAATAAAAAATATTTTTATTTAATAAAAACATATATATAAGTTGTTGGCAAAGGTGTTGCCTTTGAAGATTAAAGAAATCCTTCTCTCCATTATTAGTCAGGCCCAAGGGACATTCATCCAAGGACGACAGATAATTGATTAGATCCTAGTTGCCAACAAATGTGTGGAGGAGATGAAGAGGTCTAAGCAAAGAGGCTTTGTATGTAAGCTCGATCTTGAGAAAGCCTATGACTTGGTGGACTGGCAGTTCCTAGCAGAGGTTTTGAGGAAGTGTGGGTTCGGAGAGAGATGGTGTGGTTGTGTTAGTTGTTGTCACTACTCCATCTTAGTAAATGGGGTGATAAGGGTTTTTTTTTTTTTTTCAGCTAGTAGGGGTATTAGACAAGGGGATCCACTTTCACCTTTTTCTCTTTACCTTGGTAGTTGATGTGTTCAGTCGAATTATCACAAGGGCTAATAGAGAAGATGCGATAAAGGGATGAAGAACAGGCACAAATCAAATTCCAGTAACTCACTTGTAGTTTGCGGAT